TATTCCCGGACGAAAACCAGAAACGATTCTTCTAATTGATATCGGACGTTATTTATCGTCGGAATCTTCGTAGAGACGTCGCAATCATTTGCAGTACTGTCGACGGATAATTGGGTTAATTACCCTGCACTCTGATCCAATTATCGAACCTGCGCATTCATTGTTTTACATTCTAGTCGACCGGCCTTCGATACATCGTTGAAACCGCTTCGAGGTACAGCGAATTCTCCCTAATTGACGCTCGGATTGTACACAAAAATGGACGATTTGGGAACAGGAGTATACGATTATCCTTCGATTGCGTGTCGTTTTTATAATTGTTGGCACTCGACAAAGTTAATACATAATTTTAATTAGGGTATAAATACTGACTATAAATATTGCCTAAATATTGCCTAAATATTGCCTAAATATTGCCTAAATATTGCCAAGCCTATAAAAATGAGCCACGAGTATCTACCGTATATGCCGTTTCTAATGTTACAGCTTCCCTCGTACCGTGTCTTCATAAAATTTTTTCCACGAAAATGAATTATACATGGAAAAAGTAGAGATTTCAGGCTTTAAAATGAGTTTAGTTTCGTTGNTAATTACCCTGCACTCTGATCCAATTATCGAACCTGCGCATTCATTGTTTTACATTCTAGTCGACCGGCCTTCGATACATCGTTGAAACCGCTTCGAGGTACAGCGAATTCTCCCTAATTGACGCTCGGATTGTACACAAAAATGGACGATTTGGGAACAGGAGTATACGATTATCCTTCGATTGCGTGTCGTTTTTATAATTGTTGGCACTCGACAAAGTTAATACATAATTTTAATTAGGGTATAAATACTGACTATAAATATTGCCTAAATATTGCCTAAATATTGCCTAAATATTGCCTAAATATTGCCAAGCCTATAAAAATGAGCCACGAGTATCTACCGTATATGCCGTTTCTAATGTTACAGCTTCCCTCGTACCGTGTCTTCATAAAATTTTTTCCACGAAAATGAATTATACATGGAAAAAGTAGAGATTTCAGGCTTTAAAATGAGTTTAGTTTCGTTGTCCTACGATTTTTATTGACGAAGTTACAGTATTTTGAATATCGTCGATGTTTCGAAAGTCAGAAAATTCGTGTAAAGTCTGGAACGAGGTTTCCCATCGACTGAGTCGCGAATAAATTTTGTTAAAGAAATTGTGTGTGTGTGTGTGACTTACAACTTTCGAAAGTAGACACTTCGGGCTTTGAAATGAGCCAAGTTCCATTGTCGTATGATTTTTTTGCACAAGGTTATAGCTGGTTGAATATAATACAATTTTTTTCGAAAATTTGAAACTTCGACAAAAGTAGTAGACGGCTCGTTTTTATAGTTACCGATTGTCAACAACTATAAATACGAGGCGTAAGTCTCGAATAATTGTATCTCCCATTTCCAAATTGTCCATTTTTGTGCATAATCTGAGTCAGTTATACAGAATTTACTGTATTTCGAACGGTTTCTCCGAGCACACAAGAATTCCTCTGAGAATATTTTCCACACGAAACATATATATGTACATATATATAAATAACAATAATTGATAAAGCGACTTCGATTTACGAACGTAAATCCATTCGGCACCAGAATATACACGAAATCGAATTCAATTTATCAGAATTAGTAAAACTCGCAAGATTATGAAAATGATCGCCGAGCAAATACGATCGTTGTGCAACATCGATACAATTCGCATAATCGTATATGTATATCAGCATTGTCGTCATGTTTCCGCGCGCACGCGAGTCGTAAGGATCGGTAAAGGAAATTTTGCAACATTTGCAATGTTAAGTAAGTCCGAACAATTTCGATAGCAACACGGTGCGCTATACATACAATTTATGATACATATTTCCCGGTGGCATTTCAGCATAGTAACGCAGCGCGACCATAAAGCCGGGCTCGTTAGGCGTCTAGGATTTTATGCACCCATTCGACGCACTCGGTTCATGCGGCGGCGTCCGACATTTTTATTCGCCGTCCGCGAAGATTTAGGTGGACTCTCCGTGCTCTTGGTTCGCGCCGACTTTAATTCCGGATTATGGCTTTTTAACGATCGCCGAGGGGCCGCGGGGGCCCGGTGGATCCCGGCCCGATCCAGCAGAGATACGGATCGGTGCGAATCAGTTCCGCGGCGGCTATTTACATGACCGCGGATGATAGATTTATCGGCCGACTGTCAAGAGTTGTCTCGCGAAGACGAGCATCGGGTCGGCGGATCGTTGCCAGATCTAAATGTCACGGGATTCACACAGGCGTTACGCGGCCGAAGGGATTATATCACTGCTTGCACAGCGCCACCGCGCTGCGTGCAGATGCGCAGAAAAATGCTGATGGAAAACCAGCTGATTGCCGCGGTTGCAGCGTGAAGGCGCCACGCTGCGTTCCAGGTGGCGCCACGGGCAACTCTGATGCCTAAATTGCCCCCACTTGTATCTAGGTTTTCACCGGAATTAGCTTTGAAAAGGTTGCATATTTTAATGACCGGTATTTTTCGTAATTGGCAGCCGACGTTTTTGTGATAATAATCGCTGGTAAGGAACTGTTGCACGGTTTTATAAGGGTCAGGATATTTTTATAAATTATAGGGGACCATTTTCGCAACATTTTTCGTAGCATGGAACAACTGTAAATTTTTGTACATGGCATTGTAATTTTGGAAAATGACAGAGGACATTTTTGTTAAATTTTTGGCAGCATACGAAACAGCTGTACATTTTTATACAAGCGTGGATATTCTTATAAATTGACAGTAATCATCTTCGTGACAATTTTCGTAACATGCAACGGCTGTACTATTTTTGTATGGACGAAAAATTGACTTTCCGTGTTCTCGAGATTGTTGCATAATTCTCGGTAACGCCGAGGATTGTTGTTAAATTGTGGCAACGGCACACTTTGGCAGCGAACGACGAACTGTTAAAAATCGGTGTCAAAAGTGGGTGTCGATAATAGCGCGGAGGTGGCTAGAAAGGGAAAGGAGAGAGAAATGGAAAGCGTGTGGACCCCAGGTGTCGGGATTCCACCGTAGAAATCGAAATTTTATACATCATTCTTTCGGTACAGTGCGCTTAATCGTCCACGACCGAGATCCTAGAAACTCCGCGGCCTTTTTCCTCTTCTTTTAGAAACTGCCAACCTGTTGACCGTGAATCTTATTTTAACCGTGAAGCACAAGTGAATTTTTAACGAAGTAATTAATAGCGAAGCGAATATTCAGTTAAGAGAATTTTTTGTGAAATTAATAATGTTTGGCGAAACGAAGTTTTGACGATGCGAATCTTCAATATTCGAACAAAATAATCGGCGCACGAAATAATTGAGAAAATACAGAGGCGAGAAAATACGTCTGATGTTACTTAGATTTTATACAGTATAGAAAAAAGAACACTGCTGTTATTGATAAAAATGTAAACAATTCTGATGATACAACAGAAAGAATATACATATATTCTATATTATATAATAATATAATAATAATGTATTACAATATATTACAATAAATTGTTAGATATATAAATTGTTCATATTATATAATAGTGTATTACAACACATTACAATAAATTGTCCATATTATATAATAACGTATTACAATACATTACAATAAATTGTAATATTTTAGTTATGCGAAAAATAAACGATGTTTTCACTTTCTGTATATTAATTTTTTGCTTTCTCTTATGCAAGAATTATTTCCCGGTATTTCTTCTGTTATATTATCAAAATTGTTTGCATTTTTATTAAAAATAGCAATGTTCCTGTAGGAATTCTGTATTCCGTATTTGTGGAATAACGTTTCACGATGTTACTGCTTGGAGAAAAATCGTGAGATTCAGGTTCCGTCGATTCCGGGATCGAACCCCGTTCGGCCGATAGACTGGTAATTATGGAAATCGAAGCGAGAGACCTCGATCGCAAATATTAGATTCGCGAGATCGACAGGATCCGGCAATGAATCTGATTGGACAGCTCGTATTCACACCTGGTGGCCTCGGCCCACAACTGGCCACTCGATCGCCAATCGTTTCTGTACCGTGTGACATTCTATTTTATTAATAATCATTTCGCTGACCGTCAACTGAAATCACACTGCTAACAAATTATTCTACGAACGAACGCGACAATCACAATCTCTGGGAGATATTACAGTTTTTTATTTAAATAAAAATTGCAGATCAAATAATTATATTTAATCTTGCAATAGTTTCAGTATATAATAATTGTCCCTTCATTTGTTTAATGTTACAATGATTTCAGTATATAATAATTGATATTTGAATTTTTAATTATTTAACGAATTTATAATTGTTTAATGAATTTATAATTGTTTAATGAATTTATAATCGTTTAATGAATTTATAATTGGTTAATGAATTTATAATTGGTTAATGAATTTATAATTACTTAATGGATCTTGAATTTATAATACAGTTTGTAATAATATAATAACCAATTTCTAATAATTATATTGTTATTTAACGAATTAATTTTTCATCTCCGTCCGAATAAAATTCTACCACGACGAATAATATTAATTTCTTAAAAAAAACCCAGAGGTTCCATTAAAATTACCCAATAATTAAGAACCAGGAGAACCGTTCCAATTAATGCACGTGATCCGCGAAAAACCGATCGATTTAAGCCCGGGAAAGCGTTGTTGCAATTAGCGAGCATAATTTATGAACTTTCAAACGAGATAAGACCGGTCGGAATTTTCGATTCGGCGTTCTGACGGCGCAGCTCGGTGCGTGTCGATAGTTGCCCGTAATTATAACAGTAACTGGTGTAACAGGGTTCCCCGGGCGCAGACGTTGCGCAAACGCATAAATTAGACAAGCAAATTACCCCCGTGGCGAGCACGCAGCCTTTTCTTACGGTGTGACGTGAAAATCATTTTCTCCTCCGTGACACTTTCACTGTCCGCGGACACCGTTTCCATCGCTCTGACAATGATGCTTCTTCTGTTGCAGTTTTCTTGTCCATCCTCAACCTCCAGCATGGCTCCGTGTTATGCAGCGCGGGGGAACCTGGCGTGAGTATGACGAACGAACTTCAGTTTCGATGCTTTTTTCTTTCTTCTCTTTATCATTGCTCGTTCCGCAAGTTCGTGCGGTTTCAATTTCGACTCAAATTTCCCGCGTGATAATAATAGAATCGTAAATGTTCGTTCTCGTTAAACCTGACAATACGTAGTTTTCAAAGAGGCTAAATCACTTTATCACGAATTTCATCGCATTGCGAACATGTTTATTCTTTTTAAATTGACACTCCATACTTTTCAAGGAATTAATCACTTTGTTACGAATTTCATTGTATAGCAAAATACGTTGGACATGTTCCATTCTCCTTAATTTAACATTCCCTGGTTTTCAATAAAGTAATCACTTTGTTGTGAATTTTATCGTACAGCAGTTCATGTCAGAAATGTTCATTCTCCTTAATTTAACTTTTAACTAACTTAATTTAACTAATCTCCTTCAGAGTTTTCGAAATACTATACATTCT